AGTTTTCTTTTTTAGCATGTATATTTTTATGTTCTCTTGCATTTTTGTTATTATTATTGTATATTATATTTTGTTATTATTGTTTTATGTTCTCTTGTTGTTATTAATCAATTTAATAAACTTTTTTCCTGAAGAAATCAGTGACAATACTTACTCCAAAACAATATAGCTTACACTTAACAAGCTTTTTAGAAAAGTCAATAAAATTTTTACATTAATATTTTTAGTTAATTAAAAATGTCCATCCAGTTAAAACACTTTGTTTCTAAAATACAAAGTAAGTTTCATAGAAAAGATTCTATCATCAAAAACTCAAAATATATAAATGCACATTGCCAAACCTTTGACATATCTTTCTAAATATATGAGAAATATCTACAGTAGAGCCTCGATTATCCGACCCCCGATTAACCGTCACCTCGGTTAACCGACAGTCCTAGTCGGTAAATTTGAAATGTCCACTAGCGATGTGGCGCTACAATATTTGGCTATGTCTTGGCTACTTTAATATTATTTTTACGTGTTTTAGCTGGCAACACTCATTCGACCATGAAAGGGGGCCAGTATTTAAACGAGGCTTAATTTTCTAATTTTTAACAATACAATAGCGACGATTATTATTTAAAAAAATTTTTGTTAGCCTTAACATCGATGAAAATTCAATGCAAAGTAGGTTAATAGCGATATACTAATATACTGATTACATGGGTTATAATAATATACTACACTAATAATGGATTTTTTCATACTTTTCGGTTATCCGACTTTTCAATTATCCGACCCACCCCAGTCCCCAATTGGGTCGGATAATCGAGGCTCTACTGTATGTATATATACATATGTATGTGTGCATAAATTTCAAATTTTCAGTCCAAAAGAAAAATTTTAAAAAGGAAACTACTTTCCTATGAAAAAAAGTAGAAGGAAAAATTATCTTAATGTAAATAGATGTATTTGTATTTGCAAAAATCCTATTTTATTAATAAATTTTCTTGGCTAGATCAACTCAAAAACTTTTACATAAAATATACTTTAGGAAATAAATTATTTTTAAATAAAAATATTACAATTTTCATAAAAATTTCTCTTGCTTATTTGGTTATCATAAAATGTCTTATTTTATATATCTTCTTGCATTCTTAATAAAGATTACATAAATAATACTTAATATTACAAATGTTTATGTGTGTATGTATATACATACATAAACATTTTTATATTATATTCATATATTTGAATTTGATAAATATATAATACAATATAATAGGATATACTAATATAATAGAATATTTAAATAAGTCTTCCTAATGTTCAATCACATTTAAACATCTCACGGGGAATGCACGTGCACACGGTATTCAAAATCTCTTACTGTTTGATTATGTTAGAATTTTAAGATCCAGCTTGTTTTGAATTATAAACAAGTAAAACGGCAAAACCATATTTGGGACAAAACTATGTCTCGGAGATGGAATCATTTTGGTGCTCAAAGGGCAGGTCTCGTTCTCATTCTCCTATCTTTGATATTGCTGCTTTTGGGCGCAATCATTCAAACTTCACCGGCTACGACCACGAGATCGTCCACGATGCATCTTCGATGAAATTAATTAACCTATCTAATTTCAAAATTTCTCTCTGTTGCATGTTGGCCCGGGTTGAATTTTTGTCAATGCATAACGAAAAGTTCCCGTTTTTGAAAAAAATAATCGTGGCTATCGTATCATCCAAAATTATTTTTTTATTTTGCACAAACAATTTACAGTTTAACCCGATTATAACGTCATTGAATGTAACAACAACCCTAATATAATGTCAAATTTTTATATAATGTCAAATTTTTTATATAATGTCAAATTTTTACTATACTAGATAATGTTAAAAAAAAACCCACTTGTAACAACATAAAACCGTTTTATCATCATATTTGAAGCACTCCCAAATTTACAAAATTAGATTACAAATTTTATTTAACATAGAAGAAACTACGTGTTTGGTCCTAAGGTCAGAGTTCACTTCTTAGAATGACTATGGGTGGTACTCTCCCCTATCTGACTTTGGTGGGGTGATGTGGCTGTTTTGCCTGTTTGTAGAAGAGGGTCGCCATTTTGTATTTTATTTTGACTCGATTCTCAGTCCCCTGACTACCTACGAATCTGGATTTTTTTATGCGCAAATGATTTGGGCACCCAATACTCTATGCCAAATATCAACTCTTGACATGTACGCCCTTCATACCTCTATGCTGGTAAGAACATCGGGCAGTACGATTTTATAAACAAGACATAGTCTTGTCAAAAACCCAAAACCCGAAGAAGAGCCCAGGAGGGGTTACAAAAATGTTCGCTGTTCAAGTGCTAATCGTATTCATACTGGTTAATGGTTGATGTGAGTCGTATCTTATATTCATCCCAGTGTGCTGTGCATTTATGAGAAGTGCTAACGTTTTTGCCCATGATGAATGGGCATGATCAGGCAAACTAATCCCCCAGCTGTTGAAACAACGGGAGATTGCCATACATGTGTGAAGAGAAGGGTGATGTAAGAAGAGAGAAAGGGGAGGGGAAAGAATAGTAAGATTTATAGTTTAAACTTCCATGCTGTGGGGAAGGAGTCAACATCAGGAAAATTAATAGTAGTGTTATTGCAGGTGGCCTTATAAATTTTCACCTGCTCAAGATGTTTGAGAAAGTGTTGCCTGGAAGAGCTATGTAAGAGGCAAGCATGATCAAAGTCCACATGGATGTCTGAGCCAGAGGCAAAGATAGCAACACTGTGTTGGCCAATCCTTTTGTGATGGAAGTCTGATGTTCCTTGAGGCATTAACATGAGACATTCAGCAGCTGGGATATTAGTTTGCCTGATGATGCCATTCAACAAGGGTGAAAACGTTAGCACTTCTCTGCTGGATATTAGGTTTTTCTTTTTAGTGACTTTACATCTCTTATGTAGTCATTCCCTGCTTAACTTCAGTAACCAAATTCTCAAAATCAAGATGTTCTGCTTAAAAAATGAAAATAAGCCTATTTCCTGTAAATGGGAAAAATTATAATGTTGTAGCACATAATTTTTCCCATACTAAAATACTATAATACTAACTAAAATACTATATAATACCTATATACAGTATTATATAGGTTATATACTACTACCTTAATATATTGCTTTTTGATCATCAAATAATTCTTTTATATGCAGTAGCATGTGCAATCTGCATACCATGTTAGAAACATTGCATTTATGGTATGGCATGGAAAATAATACCCAACAATAAACAGAATTGTTTTAAAAAATGCATATAAAAATTTACAACAAAAAACAAAGAAATCACAGCACATTCTCAACAATGTTTCTGACACTTCAATAAATTGGATAATTGATTGACTATTATTGTTAGTGACATTAAGAAACTATGTTTAGGCTTTCCTGCTATAGGAGGCATTGAAATAATATAACATTATGATGCAACTTCCAAGAGTACTACATTTCAGATGTATGTTTATTTTCTTGACACTTAGAATTATATGTAGTCATTTTGAAAAGAGCTCTAAACACTGGTTCATAATTCACAAGAATGGAAAAGAAAAAAAAATATTCATCTTTTCTTTATCGTCTTTCTGTAAGCATTCATACTTCAAAAAGAATGAAAGAGAAACATGCATGTGTTTAAATACCTACAGTTTAAAATAAGCATCAAAAGTATATCTGAGTCTTAAAAGCCTTTAAAAACAAGAGTATATGTGATTAATTAATGTTCTAACCAATTGTATTTGGAATACAACTTGAGACTTTCCTGAAAATTTTATTAAAGATGATGTATTTTTGATAGAATTTATATATAAAAAAAAGGTATATATTCATGTTCTTCAAATCTTCATTCTATACAGTGATAATACTAAAATTATTTACTCAGTATTAAGAATAAGCTATTTGTGTATCTTGCAGAAAAATTCCATTCATACAAAAAGTGCAAATAATCAATACATTAACTACAGAAAACTACTATAATAATTTATAACAGTAACATGTTTTTAATTTGTAAAACATGTAGTAAAAGCAACCAAAAATTATATATTTTCACCACAATTAACTACAAAAACTCAACTTAACGTTACTTTTCCATAATATTTGCAGTTCTTGCTTTACACACAGTTTTGCATTTTACACATCTATTAACACAGAAAATAGAAATTAACAATAAGACTTTAAAAAATTAATACATCACCTACATAATCTCTTTTTTTTTTTTTTTTTTTTTAACTCTTTTTACCCCTTGGGCACTAAAAGGACCTCTTTTTGCAAGTCGATTATGGTTCAGCCAGGCCTACAATAGGGCAACCAGGCGCAGAAGGACGAGGCCCAACCTAGCCAGACAGACCACCCCCAAAAAATTCCTGGGAATTCATCGACCCATCCAAATTCGAAACCCAGAGCGGTAGGCTGCCACCTCGACCGCTCGGCCATCCAGCCATACACTTACATAACTCATAAAAACCAACCAAAGAAAATCCAACACGGTCGAAATTGAAGGAAACCATGTTTAAAATTATTACGGTATTTCCACTGCAAGAACAATACATCACAATTTAATTCAATTCTAAACAGGAAGAATAACTGGTTATATATAATCAACAGAATATAATAAACTTGTTGGAAGATAATAAAATAGCTAAAAACAAAATTTTACTTCCCAAAAACTGATTTAAAGAATTAAATGTGCATTTATAAGTGTTTAACAATGATTTCTACGCTCAGATTAAAACACATTTGATTTTTTCCTGTATTCTAAGACAGGAAAACTTATAAAAACTCAATAAAATTAAAATATAAAATGTAAGATTTCTTCTACAGTGCAGTACTGTACATGTGATTCCTTGCTTAAAATTAAATACATTTTCTATTTTTAAATGGAAAATCTGTATAAACGTGTTGATAAACATATCGATCTTAATATCAATAGTTTATATTTTAAGAAATAATATATATTTTAAGTAAGGTCTTACCTAACAAGTTACAAAAATTTATCAACTGACACGAACGTTATTTGTCCAATCTATCTATACAAAATCACTTGTTCGCAATCCTTTCTAAACCAGAATCCAACTAAATGCATCATACGTCAAATATTCATTTTAGAAACGTTCCTATTTCATTTCGGAACCGAAAAATTGATCACAGCCGATCTAACCGTAACCATCTTGATTCACGCCAACGTCTGTTTGTACGCATGCGCACTATTCCCGCCATATAAAAATTCAATTTTCGTTTTCTTTGTGACTGTATATATTTTTTTTTTAATAATTTTTTAATTTTCTAAAGGAATGTGTTTTTGAATTATTATTATTATTATATAAATTATTTTAAAAATTAATATATTAAATAATCGTTAATATTTGCATATTTTTGTTTTTATGTCCGGAAAATTGTTTGGCATAGGCCACGTTTCTTTATGCAGCGAGAGTGTAGCGAAATGACTTCACGAGCAGTGTTGGCCAATTAGTGTTCGCTGTAAAGCGCTTCTCGAGCGCTGCATAAAGAAACGCGAGGATAGATTGATGTTTGCCTTAAGTTATGGCAACGCAACACTTGGGCGATCTGCCTAGGGGGGATGCCTTCTGGGAGGTCTTTTTAAGGGAAACTGGCTTCTATTTAGGCGTTACAGACGTGGAGAAAGCCCAGAAAACTAAACGTGGCCAGCCCATCCGAGCGAGGCGCGAACCCACGACCGAACTACCAGTGTTCAGGGAACGAAGATCGCTTGGCCACTGGTGGGCGGCTTAGATTGAATGCACGGCGTTATACAGGATGTCTCTTAAAAAGCGATCCGGGGTAACAGCCTGGAAAAAACTAAGGCTATAATCTCCATATAAATCCGAGAGGAGAAGAAAGAAAGAAAGAAAGAAAGCCCGGAAAGAAGTGTTAGATTCGTGTTACGATACCCGCTTTTATCGAGCATGGACTATTCATTAGTGATAAGTGAATTTCTTCTATCACCAAAAAAAAAAAGTCCGCTGGATGGCCGAGCGATCAAGGTGGCAGCCTACCGCTCTGGGGGAGACGGGAACGAATCCGGACGGGTCGAAAAATCCCCGGGAATTTTCGGGGGTGGTCGGTCCAGATATGTCGGGCCCCGTTCCTCACCATCTGGCCGCCTCATTGTGGGTCTGGCCGAACCCATAATGGGCTTCCTAAAAGAGGCCCTCTTAGTGCCCACAAGGCGGAATGAGTTTAAAAAAAAAAAAACACCAAAACAGAGGAAGTAAAATTATCTCGGCTTCTATCGCAGTAAGTTCTAACTGTAAACTTATAGAAAAAGTCGAAATTATAAAAGTGAAATTTAGACATTTTGAAGAAAAAACTTTATTGGCAATTAACTCACCAACGATTACAGTTCAATCTTGTAAATAATCGCCATCAATATCAATCACATCTAACCACCTTTGCTCAAACTTTCAGTCTCTTGAGCACAGAATGATTGTGTTTTTTCTTTGAAGAAAATCCGGTATTGTCGTTGAACTGTATATTGGCAATACTGTAAAGTTGCCGACGGGGTGTAAATGACAAGAAGGTCGCGGGGTCGCGAAGGGTCGTATGTGGGCGATCGGCACTGAGACAGACTCTGCGGTTGCAAGAAATCGTAGAGTTTGTTTCGTAGAGGCCTCTGAGTTTTCCTCTCTATTCCAAGATAGTCCCAAATGAAGGAATGTCCTTGGCCCGCGAATGACAGTTCCCTCGACGTCTCGACGACTTCGGTACGATGCGGTTGACTTCCGGTGATGAAAAGATGTCGATCCGAGGTCGTGAGATGGAGACGAAGATGAGCATGAGAAACACAAACACAACAACTGGTCCGACACTTGGAACTTTCGGGAGAAAAAGCCGTCGCGTCCTTGAATTCCCGAGGTTTTATTAATTTCCGTCCTCGATCGCCCATTTCGATTGGTCGCTTTACCTCGTTCTCGCTTTTTAAGTGGTTGACTACTCGTTACTATGTGTAATGAGATCTCAACTTAGCTGGCGGGAGAGGTCAAAATCGAAGTTTAATTCGATTCCCAACCGGGGATGGTCGATTGAGTTACATTCTTCTATTGTTTAAAAGTTCGCGTCGCGTTTTTATACAAAAAAGTTATTTCTAGTTTTTTTTTCTTTAAAAAAAATATTTTAACGAAAATTTCAGTGAGGGTTCGGACCTATCCAAAGCCTTCTGCAGGATGGTTCTGCAGGATGCAAAACAGATAGTACAGTAGTTAATTGGCTCAACGTCTGGGATATAAGGTAAATGAGACAGAACCTCCCAGCCCAGACTAGTCATCTTTTCAAAGATTATCTTTGCTTCATATGCTGGCGCGCTGTCGTGGCGGTATCACACTCTGCCAATTTTTGGACGAAGTTCTTTGATCTCGATGTTTAAGCGATTCAAATTGTTCAAAGTACAGTTTTTTCATGACAGTAATGTTGATTAGAAGTAGCTCCATCGTGATGAATTCAAACAAACGCAGATCATCCTTTTTCTGTACTATCGGCCCTTTGACATTTGAGACAGTTGGTTGACCTTTGTTCACCCAAGAACTCCTTAAATATTTTTAAATTAAACATTTTCCAAACATTTTTTGGATCTTCTGATGTAAATGTTTAAAATATCATAAACAAAAACAGAAAAAATAAACAAAGATGAAATTGCTACAGCTTGAAGGTCATACGCAACAAACGCAAAATTTGCATGAATGGTACAACATGCTGGTAGCTCTGCACCTCAAGATTACCTGTCAATTTCATCGTGCTTTCCCTTCACTATATTACTCATACAGTAAAATAACCGGTGTGTATTACACCAATAACAAATACGAATATATACTGTACAGAGTATCCAGAATTAAACGTGCCGATTGAATGCTTTATGAAACCATATGGAATGACCAGATTGCCATCAAATTTGGTAGATTTCTTATTGAAAACATGTAAAAATGGATTCGAATTAACTTTTACTTTCAAAGTTTCCCGACGGGGAAAATATGTCACCGAGCAAGATGATAGTGTTTGAAAAGATCAGAAGAGTATTTCTTTTAAGTCATTGAAGCAGAAGTGCGAGCCATTATAATTCTTAATCCATTCCAATATGGGCCAAGAATGGGTATGCGAAAGGTGCACTATTAGTGTTTACAGGGTTCTTACATAAAAATTTAAAATAACGTGGAAAATAAATTTCTTTTCAATTTAGTGTTAACTTTAACGTAATGTTTATTAAAAGACTCTTTAGTGAACTAAACATAAAGAAAATCAAATAAATAAAAGCGATTTTATCATGGTCTTGTATTGGTTTTGCAAAATATATTAGTGTATATGTCGATATACTGTATTGATAAGTAGTTTGATATTACTATATTTAATTGATCTATATCTCGCTATATACATATATTAAAAATCAACATGTTCTGTCATCACCGAAAAAGATGAACCGATCAGTGACGGACACGTACTGTACTGTACGCCACCAATTTGGTAAATATATTAATGAAAATACATTAAGACACCAAATAGTCTTGTTACTTTTATTAAAACGAATATTGCATTTATTTATCGTAAACGTTCTAATAGATTTTACAAGCTACTCCATTACTAAAACTTAAAATTTTTTAACTTTTAAGTTTGTACAGCAAGTGATTTAGTTAATAAAACATTATGAAAGTGAATCTTAAGAATTCTTTTATATTGAACTAAATTTTATAAACAGAAAATTATATCAAATTTTATAAGTAACGTGACATCATTGTTCGAACGTCATTCATGACAGCAATTATGCAACAACGAGCTTTTTCAATAATTTTTAACGAATAAACAATTCAAATTCCATTGTTCTTTGTTCGAATAAAGACGCCACTTTAGAAAAAATAACGTAAAAAAGAACCGCGAAATTGCAGAAGAGAAAAAGACGGTGTTTTAGTGTAAGAAACAGAACATTCAAACAAGGAACAATGGACTTTTAATTATTTATTCGTATGTATGTGATATGTATATAGGAATATACATATTAAGTAAATGTAAATATTTAAATATAAAGTATTACTATCAAATAATTACTAATTAAATTAGAATTAGAAATAAAAATTGGAATTAATTAGAATTTAATATCAATATTTTATGTATGATTATAATATGATCATATATTATATTATACGAGGGTCATTCAAATGAAACACGACCAATGGATATATCAAAGCGCGGAATGTGTCTATTTGAATTGTAGTGAAAACACTGCAGGATCACGCTGCAGTGTCATGTGACGCTGCTGTTACGTGAACCTACAAACAAGCTGCGTTCGTTTAACATGTCAAGCAGATGCTCTGTCCAACTTTCAAGCATGTATGCGTCAACAACTGAGCCGATGGAGTTTACCGCAGTGGAACCATCATAAATGCTGGTCGGTACGTGGAAACTTTAAATTCTCTGCGAACTTTCGTCAAGTCCAAGCTGCCTGATCTGCTTTCGCAAGGGTCGTCGTACTTCATCACATCGCGCGCATCGTGCAGGAATTCCTTCTGAAATTCAAGTAGAAAACACTCCAGTATCCTGCAAACAGTCTTGACTTGTCTCTGTGCGAATTCCACGTTTTCGATCAGCTTAAGAGGCACCTGAAAGGGCGTAAGTTTCAATCGGACCCTGAAGTAGAAGACGCAATTCGAGAATGGTGCAGATATCAACCCACTGAGTTCTGTGAGCAAGCAATCGAACGTCTGGTATCACAGTGGGACAAGTGCCTTACTCATCAGGGGGATTACTTTTAAACTAAATACGCTTACAGCTTTAAATTTAGTAATAAATTAAACTGTTAATATATTATTTATAGCTATAACTGTAAGGGCTTATCACGTCGAATAAGCCACCATAAAAGGCACAGCCGCCTTCGCCAGCGGCCGCCAATGCCAATGAGGCACGGCGACCCTCGTCGATGCTGGCCAGCCATCTTTTTATATACAGTACTGTACAGTAAGTCAGCTCGTGCATCACCTTTGAACTTGTGCACTAGCAAGTTCTGTGTGCTACAAAATAATAATAATTTTCTAGTATATATTTTCAATTATATATTTTAATATAGACTACAATATAGTTTTAATTATTTTATTCGTTGCTATTTTTATTTCGAATTGACAAATCTGGATTCAAAATGCTTTTTAATAGAAATATTTGACTTAAAAGTTGGGTGTTTTTTCATCG